ATCTTGAAGAGCATGCTTTAAGCTCGTTGCAATTGCAAAGATTGTCTGTGTCATGTTTGTTTTTGTGTTTTGCCTTTTGCAGATAGAGATGATGTCAGATGCAATCGATGAAACACTGGACAAAGATGAAGCTGAGGAAGAAACAGAAGATCTCACTAACCAGGTTAGTTACTGCAATTTCAATCTCAAGAATCATACTTCACCTATATATATCTACTCATTAACATGTATTGCCTCGTTGTATAGGTTCTCGATGAGATCGGTGTTGGTGTTGCATCTCAGGTTGGTTTTTGTAATAACTAAGCTAAATCTTTCAAGGAAAATATTGCAATCTCTTGTATTGAACTAAAATTATGTTTCTTGCTTATGTCTAAACAGTTATCTTCAGCTCCAAAGGGCCGGATCGCAACAAAAACCGCTGCTCCTGCTCCAACCGTCACCGCCAACAACAACAAGTATGTAAAAAATACATGAGTTGACATCATTTACTTCTCTATATATAACTTTGAGATGATTCGTTCATTTCATACAATCTTAAACTCTTATTGCAGCTCGGGATCTACTGAAGTGGATGAGCTAGAGAGGAGATTGGCTTCGCTACGACGAATCTGAGAGACATGAAGAAACTCTCTGTTTGCAAGTATCATCATCATGCATCAAAAGAAAGCAGCTTCTTCGTATTCTTAGATATATGTATAAAATCTACTCATGTCACAAACTGATCTCAAGTTGAGCCAAACACACACTTGATCTATTATATCATCAACCTTACATATAATAACTCTCTACCTGACAAGTTGTGCCACTAACGTTATGTGTCTTTTTGGCTCTTTCTTGTAACTAATTTATCTATCCTCACAGGTCAAAATCAAAAGCCTCGAAGATCAAATTAAGAAACAGAGAATAATATTATAATGTTACGGATTTATAGAAGATAAACCATTGAAGGACCAAGTTGGAGGATGATGATGACTCATGACATTCCTTGTGTCCACTCCATTACTTATCATGTTCACTTCGTAATAAGAATCTTTTATTAAATGATCTCAGTAGACTAAAAGTCTAAAACCTATCTCTAATCAAGCATCTAACTCTCTATAAATACATACAAAAAAATATATAAACTAAAGAGAACAACTAAGGATTTGCGTAAAATGGGAAAGAAGGTTTTTTCACATTTGGGTTTTGCGTTCTTTCTGTTTCTTGTTCTACTTCTTCGTTGCAATGGTCTTGTTCTTGCTTCTATACAAGAATCACTCCCAAGAGCTGGTTAGTGTTACAAACACACTCATAATCTATATACATTCGTACGATAAATTACTTATAAAAAATCATCTTTGACTAAAGAAAGAGTGATGATGTTTGTTAGGGAGGAGACTTGGGAGTTATCAAACAAATGGTGACATCGATTCAGGCCCATCTTACAGTGGAAGAGGTGGTGTTCGCATTCCATAAGCTTATCGTCTTCTCAATCTTATCTCACATTTCAACTTTCATTTTTAGGTCATTTCAATTTCCAAATGTCATAATGTAGTTTATAACCTAAGATTCTAATCATAGTTTTTTCATAATTGACTGTTATGTAAGATATGTTGATGTGATCTTTCAATTTACTAATCTTGGTCAAAATCACAAAAACCATTTAACCTTGAGAACCAAATTCACATGAGAATTGTAACCCTAAAATGGCAGTGGAAGAAGGATCAGAAAATGAAGGAATATATAACATTTGATTCTGAGTTCTTATAGAAAAAATGGCAC